TAAAAATAAAAATAAATCTTAAAAAAAAAGAATAAATGAGTAGATAATGCATTTTCAGAGACAAAAAGGAAAGACACAAATTATAGAAAAGAGCAGGTATTACCATCTAGAGCGTCCCCAGCAGGCACTTACTGTACCCCACACACTTGTAGTGGAACTTGGAACACCACATCTTACTGACAGAATTTTCATCCTTTGTGATGTTTGTGCATTACACGTTGCTTGATGCAGATATATACACAGAGGGAAGTGGGAAAAAACAGATGATACAGAAATAAATTACAGAAATGCTGTGTAGAAACAATATGCTTACAATTATGAATGATCTAATATCACTGTTTTCTCTTGAACAAGACCATAAGATGTCAATGCTACTAGGCTTTCATGTAACAAAAGTGATGATGAGACACAAACTCTCAACAGAGCTAGTGAACCCTGGAATCTTCATTGGCAGGATGAACGTTCCAGGCTCCAGCCTGGGAAGTTGATGGCAGTCTGCTAATACCAAAACAAAATGCCTACTCCAGGAAATATGGAATAACAACTTGGGATTTCTGTGTTTTGATGTTTATTATAATATAAAAGTATATTCTCAACATTATTCATAAAATGAATAAAAAATATAAAAATGAGATAATACTAAATGGTCATGGTTATTTTTCCTAAAATACTAAATGTGAAACCAATTATTCTTTTCATCAACGTAAGACAAAAGGATGGTGGCCATAGGCTCTGCAGCCTGCTAAATTATTTATGGGTAATTAGAACACAGACTTGCTAATACACACTAGCACAGAAAAAAAACACAAACTGCTACTGCAGGTAAAAAAGTAGGTGAACACATCTTAAGAAAACTGTAGAACTAAAGAAACATTATCCAACGTGTTTAAAAAGATCATCTAACTTCCTCACAGTCTCAATGGCTTAATCATCAAAAACCATTTAGGATAATAACTGTAATCTAAAATCAATTGTATATGTAATAAAATACATATGGCAGTCTCCTGAGGCTCAAAGTCTGAATGAGGCTGTTCACTACCTAGGACCTTAGGGAAACTTATATCACTTACTTGAGCTTTAATTTCCTTATATGTAAACTAAGGATAATCTCTATTTTTCAGGATTTTTGTGAGGCAGGAAAAAGAAATGCCACAAAGCTAAAACAATGTCTGACGTTGAGTAATGTCCTTAACAAACACCTCCTCTTCAAGAGAGCTCTCACGGAGTCTGGATCATTACTCTCTTGTTTAATTGTTCTAGTCATTTTTTTTTTAACTTCTGCAGTTTCTCTTTAATCATCAACCAACTAAACTCATTTCATTCACTAGCACTTACTGAACACCTAGTATGACACAGTCAACTTCACATTTTTACTTGGTCTCCAGTAATGACTATTCAATAAATAAGGTTTGGTACAGCAGCTCTGGTGAGTGTCAGGACCCCTTGTGGGCATCAGTTTGTATCCTAGCTGCTGCACTTCCCATCCAGCTCCCTGCCTGTGGCCTTGGGAAAGCAGTCGAGGACAGCCCAAGGCCTTCGGACCCTGCACCCGCGTGGGAGACCCAGAAAAAATATCCAGGCTCCTGGCTTCAGACTGGCTCAGCTCCAGCTGTTGTGATCATTTAAGGAACGAACCAGAAGATCTGTTTGTCTCTCCTCTCTGTAGATCTGCCTTTCCAATGAAGATAAATAAATATTAAAAAAAATAAATATAAATATTTGTGTGCGCTTCATTGCTATGAAGACTCCTACTTGGTAAAACGCTAGAGAACAAGGAATCTATGAAAGTTGTCACCCACATCTCTGACAGCACTCTAGTCAGAATCTTATTAACCTTCAATGGGGTTGACAGTCAGCTGTACTGGAGCGTCAGAGGGGTAAAAGGCAATGTACTTTGCTATGTACCAACAGGAAAGATGAAGACACACAGGAGAGGAATCAGCTCAAGACACCTGTATTCACCTGTTTACAAGGGTTTGTCTACCCACTGCTCTGAACATAGTCACAACATTATTTTTTCAGTTTTTCCATATAATAGCACTGGAGATGACACACACAAGTTTCTTACAGACCTTCCTGGTTCTATAACTAGTACCCACTGTCAGAAATGGAGGTAGGGTGGATGTTGTCCCATAGTGGAGTTTCTGGGTTGAGCATCTGCTAACTGGGCCCCCAGGATGCAGTGGTGATGGCTCACGGAGCTGGGCTCCTGCTGCCCGCGAGGAAGCTCTGGACTGAGTGGCCTGGCGCCCAGCTGTGCTTGGTCAGGTCCAGCTCAGCTGCTGTGAGCTCGTGGGAAGTGAGCCAGTGAACAGGCGTCCTATCATCCTTCTCTCTCAAGCAAGTCAATCATTTAAAAAAATTCACATAAATACAAATCCTTCTAGGTACGCTCATGCAAATAGGCCAGTTAATCTGCCTGAAGTGTAGGTATCTCATTGGGTACCGAGTCCTGGATGCTCCATTTCTGCTCTAGCTCTCCACTATTGTACCGGAGAAAGCAATGGGAGAAGGCCCATGTGTGCAGGAGACTCAGAGAAGCTCCTGGCTCCCGGCTTCTCCTGGCCCGGCCCTGGCTGTTGTGGACATTTGGGCAGTGAACCAGTAGACTAAAGACCTCTCTGTTCCTCTCCCTCTGTAACTGTGCCTTTCAAATAAATAATTTAAAAAAATCCATTTATAGGTCTCTGTAAGAGTACAAGTGTGATAAATACAGTAGCAGTGATTAATTATACTATAAACTCCATTTACCAAGCCACTCTTCATTTAGAATACTCCCTGAGTCACAGGGATACAAAGGGTGATGCTGGTTAGGGTTCTTACTAAGGAACAGCACCAGAAACATGCAGGATTCCTAATAGGCCCAAGAGGCACAGAAAGAAAGGCTAATGTAATTTCCAAGTAGTCAAAAAAGGTATAAAACAGAAATGGGAGAGGATTTGCGGAGGAAGTTCCATAAGCCTTTTAATTTCTGAACTTGATTCAGCATCCATGTTGCTTGTCCTACACCCAACTACCAGTCACAGAGAGAACGATTTGCACACTTACAGCACAGAAGTTTCAATGTGACAACATTCACTAAAAAGGTTATGTGACAACTGGTGGGATGAGATCTAGAAAGAAGCACAGCTCTTCAAAATGCCCAACAGCTGTTGTCTGGTACACTGCCAGAAGCTGGGGGCAACTGGTCCAGACAGACTTGGCCAGAGGGTCACCCCGGGCTAGGGCCCGGGGCCCCCTTCATGAGGTGGCCACTGTCTTCCATTCCACAAAACAACAGTCTGTTATGGGTTATGGTCACACATGCAGCTCTCTTAGTTCTCTGATCACCTTAAGAGATGAAGCCCCCATCTCAAAATGTGCCTTGATTGTCTTTTACTATCTTAAAATCCTTCCAACAGTCAGCACATTGCATTCTATCATCATCTCAGAGATAAGATTTGTTCACTAGTTATGATGAACACTGCTCCAGTGATTCAAGATAAAGCCAGGAAGGGCAGGTACTGTGGTGTAGCTGGTTTAATCGGCCACTTAAGACGCCCACAGTGGGGTCCTGACGTGCTGGAAGACAGTGGCTGCTGGCGATGCGCTCAGTACTTTCCTACAGACGTGGGAGACCCAGGTGGGGCTCCTGGATCCTGGGCCTGCTCTGGCTGGGGTGGACATTTGGGCAGCGAACCAGCAGTTGCCAGATCTCTGTCACTCTGCCTTTCAAGAAAAGTAAGTCTTTTAAAAAGCTATATGAAAACATGATAAAAGCATTTGTCCCAACAGAGTTTACACTCTAGTGCAGTTATGTGGGGTACTAGACAACAGATTTTCATATATGCTAAACTACTCCTCCCTACAAATTCTAGCCCCCTTCCCAGTTACAGCTAGAGAAACGCTAGAATGACAACAGTAACAGTATGCACCAGATGTGTGGCCTGCTGCGGACACACCTCATCTACAGAACACAGCATTCCCACAACTGCACTGTCAGGTATCCTGAAACCAAGAACAGTCCGATCCGGTGTCCAAACCCAGCTCAACTACTCTGGCTGCAGGGCCTCAAGTGAAGCCAAACGATTCTGACACATGCTCTGACATGCAAAGACAGACACTCGCTGGTGCTGGACTGGTCCCCAAGCAGGCCCAGAACCTGCCACCTAGAGAGTGGGCACGACCAGGCAGCTGGAACCGGAAGTGGAGCCTGGACACGATCTGGGTCAAGTCCGGGTTCCAGCAGCTGGCCAAATGCCCGCCCCTATGTATGGTGTTCAAGGAGTCAGAGTGTGGCTTTCAAGTGCCTGCACCCACACATACTTCCTACTTAGCGCGATGGCACTCTAAAACCTTCCAGAAGGCCAGAGCTGGCTGGGCGGCGCTTACGCACAGGATCGGGGCGCACGTTCCCGCTCCGCCTCGTCCCTCCCTCGCTGAGGGACAGCCTCGCGGCGGCGTCCCCACACCTGCCCAGGTGCCGCGCCTCCGTGTGTGCCTCCGGCTCCCGCACCCGGCAGGGACCTCCCGCCCGGCGCCCCTTTCGCTCACCACCGCCCACTCCACCTCGCGCGTCCTCAGCCAGCGCTCCCGCCGGTCGCCCGGCTCGCCGCCCCAAGCGCGCGGCCGACTACAGCTCCCAGGAGGCAGCGCGGCGCCCCGCCCTCCGCCCGCGTCGCCGGCGGGGACCCCGGCCTTCGGCGCGGCGCGTCAGACGCCGGGCGCGGACGGGGCGGGGAGCGGGACGGCGGGCGGCGGGCGGAGGAGGGGCGGCCGGCGGGGAGGGGCGGGAGGGTAAATAGTGCGGGGCAAAAAGATGGCGGCGTGAAGGACCCGCTCTGCGCGGCCGGGCTGCTCCTCCCTGCCGCCCTTCCCGCGCCCTGTCTGAGGTGGCAGCGAGCGGCGGCGCCGGGGCACGGCGGCGGCCGACGGCCGGAAGGACAGGCTCGCCTCGCCGCTCCGCCCGCACCAGGCGGCGGGCTGCCCCGCGCCTGCTGCCCCGCGCGCCGGGGCAGACACTCGTGGCCTCGCCGGCCGCAGAGCGCCGTGCGCTGACGCCGGGCGCAGGCCGGGCAGCCGGGGCCGGGCTCGCGCTCCGCCGTCGCGCCTCCATGTCGGACAACCAGAGCTGGAACTCGTCGGGCTCGGAGGAGGACCCGGAGACCGAGTCCGGGCCGCCGGTGGAGCGCTGCGGGGTCCTGAGCAAGGTGAGCCGGCGCGGCCGCGGCCCCCGCGCCCCAGCTCCAGGCTGGCCGCCCCGGAGGGCTGGTGACGGCTGTCAGGAGCGTCCGGGGGGAGGTGGGCGGCGAGGTGTGCCTCGCGTGCTTGCGGCCAGCGGACGCGAGCGGCCTGGGCTTTGCTCTTCCACCTGTGGAGGTGGGCGGCCCCTCGCCCGCGGGGCCGCTGGCTTCGGCCGGACCTTGGAACCTGGTTTGTGCAAGTTTCCTGTCAGGCCTTGCAGATGCGCGTAGAGGGCCTCGAAGTGTGTGGACCGGAAAAATAGGTTTCGGTGTTGACACCCGAGGGCGAGGTGTTCCGCGCAGGGAACCCCGGGGCTTCTGCGGGTCCCCGTGTTTTTTCACTTCGGGTTGGGACTGTGAGTGAAGTGAGGTCTTTGCTTCATACAATCCCCACAGTTGCATTACTCTGCCAGAATACCATGTCAAGGTTAGGGCCCGACGGAGTGTTCTATGAAACATGCTGTACTTTTGACCTGTTTGCGAGAGTGCTGGACTGGCGTGGCTGCTGGGGAAAGCCAGGAAGTTCGGGTGTGCCGAGTGAGACTGTGAGAAGTGGAGGAGCACGTCCTCGGTGTTTGGGTGCGGAGAGGCAGTTTGTCCGCCTCTGTGGCCGGTGGATAACTTGTACCATTAGGGTGTTGCTGCATATGTAGACCATAGAGTGAAGTTGTGGATATTTTTGTTAAGAGCTGTGACAAGAATTTCTCTAAAATTTAACTCCCTGAAATTGTGCAGTGTTTCTGGAAGATTTTAACTCAAGGGCATTTTGTATTGATTCTCTATATACTGATTAAGATAATGTTTTCAAGCTTGAAGTATGCTACTTATTTTATTCCTTTGTATTCATCTGGTAATAAATAAGAGTTACCTCAGCCCTTTCCCGTCTGTTGAATAATGTGAAGTCTCAACACACTCAGCTCCTCATCCCCCAGTGGGGTGGGTTGGGAATGGGGGTGTGCCAGTTTCTGCTACAACTGTACCAGTGCACAAGCCTTTTTCTGTGCGGTCACTGAGGTACAGGGGAACACCTGTCGAGCGCGTTTCTTGCAGAATCGTTTGAGTGTGGGTTCCAGAACGCCTGTGTGGTAATAAGAAAGGGTGATTCCGGCTGCGCACGAGGCCTTAGAGGCGCTCCAGCTCAGGTGGGATGTAGTGAGCCTATCACCTCGAGTACGGCAACAGCCTTAGAACCTTTTCTTGTGTTGCCAAATTTCAGATTTTTTTTTTCCTTTGAATTTCCACAATATTTTGTTTGGAACTTGGCTTCTAATGCTTAATCAAAACACTGATTTTTTTTCCTTCTTGGTGTTTGTGTTTCCTGGACTACTGGTGATAGGAGTTCTTGGATTCTTCTGCAGTATCCACCATGTTGCTCTGTGTTGGTTACCTGTGAAGAATGAGAGCAGAGAGAAGCAAACACCTGTCTGCCATGTGTAGTAATAACAGCTCACATTTGCTGGATAGCCCTGAGGCTGAGTCATTTGTTAGGTCCTCTGGAAGAAAAAGCGGGGGTACATTCAGAGGCATCACCTGTCACTTTTTATTTAAGGATTTATTTGTTTTTGTTTGAAAGGTAGTTTTTACAGAGAGAGAAGCAGAGGAGTTATCCTGTCTACTTGTTCACTGCCCATAGGGCCACAACTTTCAGAGCTGAGCTGATCTGAAGCCAGGAGCCTCTTCCAGGTCTCCCATGTGGGCACAGGGTCTCAAGCACTTTGGGCCATCCTCCACTGCTTTCCCAGGCTAGAGAGAGCGAGCTGGGTTGGAAGTGGAGCAGCCAGGACAGGAACAAGCGGTCCTGTGGGATGCTGGCACCACAGGCTGGAGGGTTACCTCTCCACTTTAAGAGAGGTGAGCTGAAGGTGAAGCTCCATTACATATGCATATCTCTGCCTCACACTGAGGAAGTACTGTGTGCCAGGTATTGTGCTAAATCTGTTCTTGTTTAATTTCAGCAACCTGAGAGATTGAATCTGGTAAAGAAAAGTGCACTTCAGGGGGAAGTAGTGTGACTGGCCTTGTGAAGGACACTGATTGGGAGTGGGTAGGATTAATCTGTGGAGAGCTTTGAATGCCAGTCTAAACAACTGGCATGAAAAACAGTGACAAGTTCACCGTGAAAGTTGTGGAATTGGGGAATCAAGATTCAGATAACTAAACAGATAGGGTTGAAGAGTGAATAAGATTACAGAATTTATTAAAAAGGTGATATGAGAGGTAAGATTAGCTTTCTGGGGAATTGGCACGTGGTAATTGATTGGAGTTGTTGAAAACGTAAGGGTGGAATATGAAGGAAGATTAGGATTTGGTAATAGAATATAAAGATTGAGAAGCAGGAGTGGAATATTAGACAAATTCAGTATTGTATTCAGCTTTTCAGTTGGCAGGTTCAAAAGCAGAAGCTCGTGGAGTTATTTGTCAAAACACTGCTCACAAAAGACTTACAGTTGATGCTATAATCCTGTATCTACTACCTTGTTCATGTAAGTTGCTAACCTTGAGCCAGATTAATTTTTGCATGACCATAGAAGTTAGGGTATAGCCAAGACAACTGGAACACTTCTGAGATGGAACCATTTGTTTAAAGGGGTCCAAGTGGTGGCAAGTCCCAGTGAAGCAGAAATAAGAAGGTAGTGATGAGGAAGCTCATTTAAAAAGAAAGGACTTGAATTGTGGGCTCGAGTGAGCTCTGTGAAAAGCTTTTATGGTAAAGCTTTTATGGTAAAGCTTAGAGAGCCAAACCAGTTTTTTGTTTGTTTGTTTTGTTTTTAATTGGAAAGGCAAATTTACAGAGAGAAGGCGAGAGAAAGATCTTCCATTTGGTGGTTCAATATCCAACTGGCTGCAACGGCTGATCCGATAGGAAGCCTGGAGCCAGAACCTCTTTCAGGTCTGCTACATGGTGCAGATTCTCAAGGCTTTGGGCCATCCTCTGCTGCTTTTCCAGACGATAAACAAGGAGCTAGATGGGAAATGGAGCAGCCAGGACATGAACTGGCACTAGTATGGGATGGCAACACTTGGCGGTGAAGGATTAGTGGGTTGAACCATCGTGCTGGCCCCAAGCTGAACCAGTTTGAAACATGCTGGAGTCCTGAGTGGAGGAGAACGAGTGCTGGAGAGGTCGCGTGCCTCAGCCAGTGTAATGCAGTGTAGCTCAGCATCCGTTTTGAATCAGTTCTTAGAATTTTCCACACTTAAAACCCCAGACATAATTAAATCACGCAGAATTAAGTATTCCATAGAGGTGGTTATTACCAGTTTTTTGTGTTCTGCACAGCAAGACTTCAGCAACATGGAAACTGTTTTTGTATATATTATTAGAGAATGATAATCCAAGTTTGTTTTCAAGAACTAATTTCATGTTTTCATTATTACGCATAGATTTGGAAATCTGATCTGCAGAGAAATTTAGAAAATAACCATTTAAAATATATATTGAATTCTATAGCAGAAAAACTAAAATGGATGTGGACTTACACATTGATGCTGTAGTAGTTTACTGTCGTGGAGTCATGGCCATCGTAGTTTTTCATATATGGTAGTTGAGAACACTGAGTAGAGTTTTGGCCATGATTAACTTCGTGCTACTTCTTGTAGTATTTAGTGTAGGAGAATGAGTGATGGCGTGACAGGGCCAAAAGAGTTTAAGTATTACGAGTGCAGAGAGGAGGGGGAGATGAAAGCTGACAAACCCAACCATGCACATTTTTTTTTTCTTACTGTCGACCAAAATCCTGTTTTAGTTTTATTTTTCAAATGTTAGAAAAAAAGATTTTCTAAATCTACCTGTAGTACTATACTGAAAATCATTATATGATCTTGAAGAAGCTCAACTTTTCATAGGAAATGAAAATAATATATAGAAAATAATCTCTTTACTCTGTATAATTATGATTAGGTTAGAACTTTTCTTCCTATTTTGGTTTTGAAACTAGACTGCCATTTCAGGAAGTTTGGATTTATGGAATACTGACAGTGTTTTCCTCTTCTCTTCCACCAGTGGACAAACTACATCCATGGTTGGCAGGATCGTTGGGTGGTTTTAAAAAACAACACTCTGAGTTACTACAAATCCGAAGATGAGACAGAGTATGGCTGCAGAGGCTCCATCTGCCTTAGCAAGGCCGTCATCACGGTGAGTGCTGTGGCTTCAGCAGGTGCTCCTGATACCTACGCTGGGGGCCAGGGAAAGGCCTTGCCCTGCGTGCCTGCTGCTGTGCCATAGCCTTCTGTTCAGCCACGTAGTGTTCTTATCTTGTTGGTGGATCAATTCAGATGAACAACTTCAGGAAAAAAGATGCTAGAAGCCATTATTTTTCTGAGATTGGGATGGTTACTTGATAGGTTATTGAAAAAGTTGTAGCAGAAAATTATAAGAAATAAGACATACAGAAGGTCTTGAAAAAGATTAATGAAAAATGTGTATTGTGAAAAAAGTATGCGTGGATTTCAGGAATTTGTTTCATCAATCTTTTTTTTTTTATTAAAGATTTATTTTTATTATTTTTTTATTGGAAAGGCGGATATACAGAGAGGAGAGACAGAGAGGAAGATCTTCCATCTGATGATTCACTCCCCAAGTGAGCGCAATGGGCCGATGCTATGCCGATCCAAAGCCAGGAGCCTCTTCCGGGTCTCCCACGTGGGTGCAGGGTCCCAAAGCCTTGGGCGGTCCTTGACTGCTTTCCCGGGCCACAGGCAGGGAGCTGGAAGGGAAGCGGGGCTGCCGGGATTAGAACCAGCGCCCATATGGGATCCCGGGCATGCAAGACGAGGACCTTAACCACTTGCGCCACCGCGCTGGGCCCTCATCAATCTTTTAATTTCATTTTTTCCACAAACTTTGAAGTACTTCTGTTTATTACAGGGCGGGGAAAAGATGCTGGTAATGACAAGTCAGGGAAATTGAAAGCAGAGGAGATGTTTTAGTTAAAATCTGCTAATAACTCTGCTCTAATAAAATTGTTGATTTGACCTAATCAAAAAAATTCACATTACCTTACGATAGAATTTATATGCATTGGATTTCTGTTACTAAGTCTCATTTGAAGAAAACCTTGCAGTATTTTTCCATCATTTTTCACACATTCTACCCTCTTTGTATATTCAGAGTTTGAAAACAAAAGCTTAATTGAATAGCAAGTTGGAAGAACATAGTGGAATTGTTTGAAAGCGGGAATAGTAAAACTGCTACTGTCTGTACTTAGAGACAATTTTAGATAAATGTTTGAGCATAAAGGCGCAGTATTTATCTTGACTGGTATGTGGCATATTATACGATGGTTTAAGATTTTATCCAGTTTAATCTTGTTAGTCAAAAGAATGGATAGAAATATGCTTGGAGGCCCTGAAAGGTGTGCCCTGGGGTCCTTGCACCCACCCTCCCCAGGTCCGCATATTGGGAGATGTGTGTTAGTTGCAGAGCTTGGCTTTTTGAAAATAGTATGTTCTCAGTGTGGAAATGTGGGGAAATTAAATTTTATTGTTTGCTAGGTAGTAGTATTCCTAGATAATGCTACTGGATTCTTTGGAATTGAATGCATTTATCCTGCCTTGAATTATGGATTGTAATATTAGTATTACTTGGGGAGAAGAAAAATTCTAATTGCACCTGCCTGGGAAAAAACAAAGTTAGTTCATCATAGATGTTCCTTGTTATTAACCACATTTGTGTATAGAACTTCCGTTGTACAAAGAGAAGTAAGTAGGGAAGTGAAACAGTTTGAATACTTTGGAAGCAGAGATTTGGAAGTGACCAATAGAAATATTAACTAGGCAGAAAACATGAGTGAGGCAGTAGAGTAAGAATGGCAAGCCTTAGCGACAGTGGAGCAGGTGGTAGAGGCAACCTCCATATTCACAGCTGTCAGCTTGCTCTCCTGCTCACAGTCCCATGTTACAAATCTCAGGATGATTACACAGTGTGGCTGAGTGAGATGAATTTCTCAAGATGAAGATTACAAATAGATCATGTGCTTTGTTTGTATTATTATTAAGAGGTTACTGCTTACTTAAAAGAGTTACAGAGGAAGAGGGGGCAAAGGAAAAGGAAAGAGAAACGGCTTCATCTGCTGGCTCACTTCCCAGGTGGCTGAGTCTTCTCCCGTGGTGCAGGAGCCCAAGCACTTGGCCCTACTAGGAAACTGGACCCCAGGTGGAGCAGCTGGGGCACTAACTGGTGTCACAGTCAATGGCTTTTCTGACGTTATGCCACGCTGCAGCCCCTAGAATATGTATTTTTGTTAAATAAAAATTATGACGAACAATGAGTCCAATATCATCAGAACAATTGAAACTACTCAGTGACGCTCTCAGGATGTTCTTTCCCCACTCCCCTCACCAGGGTCCTTGAGATGAAGTCAGGGACCATCTCTGTCCTGGCAGCAAGGTAAGGAGCAGTATTCTCCTGTCACTCCTTCTCTGTGAATTTGCCTTTCAAATAAAAATAAAAACCTCAAAACAAAACAAAACAAAAGCTCTATCCCTAATTTTTTTAAAAAGGGAATCAAAGCCAACATAGATGGACACAAGATTTGCATTAAAGACATCATTGTAAGGGAAAACAAAGTCTCGGATGGCTCTGAAAGGAAAGCATCGCAACAAGGAGTAAGGTTTCAGGATGACCACAGACTGGCCAAGACACAGCCTACCCCACCCCCCCCCCAGCTGCTGCAGTATACCCCAGGAGTTTGTTATGGTTGTCCCCCCAACCCCTGTGTGTTTAGTCTATGCTTTTAGAGCTTCTCCTCAAGTGTCTGATGAGGAGGAGATTCAGAGAGGGGGAAGAAAGCATGGTGTTGACAGTGCTGTCTTTTAGTGTGTCATTGTAACTTTTTTTGTGAATTCCAAAAAAAAAAATTTGGGGGAGATTAAAGAACTATATAGATAACTCCTGTGAGTGCCGAGGTACGCCAGTATTCAACATTGCAGCATCTCTTTCTATACTGGGAAGCACCCACTTCCTTCTCTTTGTGGGTCATGAGAGTAGGTTGCGTACATCTGCCACTGTTCCCTTTATATACTCTAGGTGCAATTGCCAAGGGCAAAGATAGTCTCTCAGCTAATGACACTGTAAGTTCAGGAAATGTTACAATCTTCAGTATTATATTCCACTCTTGTCAGTTCCAAGAGTGTCTTTTAGAACAGTTATACTCTTCAGCTCAAAATTTAGTACAGAACATATATTGCAGTTAGTGTCATCCTTGTTGCCTTTCTTTTAGTCCAGAGCAATTCCTTAGTTTATGGACCTAGTTGGTGTTGGCAGTTTTTATCAAGCCTGACCCAGGAACTCGTGTTGTGGCACTGCATGTTAAGCCTCTGTGCACAGTGCTGATATTCCATGTGAGCTGTAATGCAGAAAACCACAGCTGGCACTGATCCTCGAGTTCTTGCCACCCATAGGTTGTACATGGCTCTGGCTTTGGCCTGGTCTGGTGTTGGCCATTGTGGCCATTTAAGAAGTGAACTAGTGGGTGAAAGGTATCTCTTACTCTGCCTTTCAAATAAATTTTAAAAATCTTCTCTTCCCCCCCCCCCAAAAAAAAACAAAACTTGAAGTTTGAATCTAATTCTTTGTGATTAGATGTGGAGTGTATGTCCTTGGCAGAATACTGTGAAATTGCTGTGGTGTCCTCAGGGTGTTGATCACAGTGGTGAAGCACAGTGATATCACAGTGGGTGATATCTGCTCCTCATTTGCGATGTTAGCTTCAGCCATCCACTTGAAAAGCCAAGATGATTGGAATGTGAACTATATGAAGATGCATTTGAAGACCACATAAAATTCCTATTTATCACCACTAACAAGTTGGCTAACAACTGCTTGTGATTTCTGTGCTTCGATTCTCTGTGTGTGGTTATGCTGCAGCTCAGCAGCCTGACCACGTGTACCAGCCAGTGTCTGACCCGTATGTGCATGTTTTAGAATCTAGTGTCCTCACCTGCCTTGTCAGTGCTTTTGACATCCTTTTAAAACTTTCTTTGCTGCTTCAGACTCAGTGTTTTCCGGGTTCACTCTGTGTCTTTATCTCCCCTTCTTGGGTCAGCCCAGCCCCTGCTGGAGCCTTGCTTGTGTTGGACGGGAATGGCCTCAGCCAGGATCGGGCAGAGCTTCTTCCTACATGGTAGAGATGGCACCTCCCTTGGTAACTTTTAGTTTAGGCTTCCGCGTGCCCAACAGAAAATTAGGATAAGGCTGGTTTTCTGCTGCAAGGATAACTAGACTTCTTTAGGGTACTGTCCAGGCAGACTAATTATTCTGTACTTTCAGTCAGTTCTAGAAACTTCAAATCAGTTATTCTGATTTTTCTTATTCTCCTTCTGGTTTTTTGGCACAAATAGGCTTGCTACTTAGCCTGTCTCCTACTGCAGCAGTATCTGTGTCACTGTGATGCACCGTTTGCTTGTATGCTTTGCAACATCAAAAAAATGATTGGAATATTTTTATTGTTCTCTTACCTGTTTTTTTGCCTTTTTGTAATGCTTTTTCTTGGCATTTAAGAGAAGCTTGGTAAATTACAGGTGAAATATATTCACTCTATTTCTATTTCACCACAAGACCTATTTTCAAAATGGACTTGTTGGGAATAGGTGTTGTGGTACAGTGGTTAAGCAAGCCTAGATATCTGCATCCCACAGCAGAGTGCTAATTCAAATCCCAGCTCCTCACTCCAGTCCAGCTCTTTGCTAGTGCATCTGGAAAACAGTGCGTCCCTGGGGGACGCCCAGATGGAGTTCTTGTCTCCTGGCTTCAGCTGGCCCAGCTTGGCTGTTCTGGCCAGTTAAGGAGTGAGCCATTGAATGGAAGCTCCCTTTCACTGTTCGTGGGCCTGGCATGATAGCATAGTAGTTAAAATCTTTGCCTTGAATGCTTCAGGATGCTGTATGGTTGCTGGTTCTAATCCCGGCGGCTCCACTTCTCATCCACCTCCCTGCTTGTGCCTGGGAAAGCAGTTGAGGATGGCCCAAGGCTTTTGGACCCTGCTCCCCACATGGGAAATCTGGAAGAGGCTCCTGGCTTCCGATTGGCTCAGCTCTAGCTGGTGCGGCCATTTGGGGAGTGAATCATCAAACGGAAGATTTTCCTCTCTGTCTCTCCTCCTCTTTACATATCTGCCTTTCTAATAAATAAATGAATCTTTTAAAAAAAAAAGTTCATGCAAAAGCTATGGATCAAAATGCTTTGTTTTTCAAATTTCATGAAGTTAAGCTATTCATATTGGAAACTTACTTTCCATATATTTTAGGAAAAAGTAGCAAATGTCTTTCCTAACACTTTTATTTTTCTAAAAATTATACTTTTGGTAGTGTTCCTATTGGTTAAGTCAACTTAGAGCCTTTGAGTGAAAACTCCTGTATGTGTTGAAGTGTATGTCATAGTGGAGAACTGGTGTCTGGCAGCTTGTGCTCTCGGACACATCACCAATGAAGTGACATGAGTTGAAAAATCACACAGTGACACGTCTCCTGCCAGCACAGCGTGGGTAGTATAGGATAAAACATTTCCGAGAGTATAATCAGCTTTACTTTTCATTTTCTACTTTTTTCCCCACAGCCTCATGACTTTGATGAATGTCGGTTTGATATCAGTGTAAATGACAGTGTCTGGTATCTCCGAGCGCAGGATCCGGATCACCGCCAGCAGTGGATAGATGCAATCGAGCAGCACAAGGTGAGGACACAGGTGGCCACAGGCCCTGGGGACTGAGTGGTGATAATGACGGTGGTACAGTTATGTACTTACCTGCTGGATTGAAGTGGAGCAGCACCTGCCCATGGGATGCTGGCCTCCTGAGCAGCCACTTTGCTGGCTCTGCACAGAGCCAGTCCAGAGGGGGGTTTTGTTGTGTTTAAATTCCATTTTCATCTAACCAGGTTGTATTGAAGTTAGATGAGATGGTATTTGTGAAAGTTTTTAAAAAACTCAAAACTGTATAGATGTAAAGTTGAGGTGGTAATTTGTTTGGGTTCAGCATCTTTCTAGTAAAGATATTGGGCCTGGCGGCATGGCCTAGTGGCTAAAGTCTAGTAAACATGTCTGCATATATTATCAAAGGATTTCCAAGCCTTTCTGCATGATGTCATGTTAAGGCAGTGTGAGAAATCATCCAATGATATAGTTGTTTTATGTATTTTTTTTTTATTAATCACATTGCATTATGTGATACAGTTTTTTAGGCACTGGGATTCTCCCCACACCTTCCCCCCATGGTGGATTCCTCCACCTTGTTGCTTTACCACAGTTCAAATTCAGTTGAGATTCTTTCATTGGAAGTATTTACCAAGCATAAAGTCCAGCATCTTATTGTCCAGATAAGTTCAACGGTTTCTTGGGGAGACCATCTCTGGTCTGAAGGTAGAGCCAGCAAAGTATCATCCCAATCAATTAAAAGCCCCAACATAACATCAGCAACAATTTACAACGTTATGGAATTAATTGACATGATATTGAGTAACCAATATGTCAAAAAAATGCAGTTTTTTAACCTCATCCTGTGACTTCTTCGTTGACATATCAATTTTGGTGTATATACAGCCAGGTTCTAAATACCTTAAAATGGTTATAGATTACTATTCAGCTGTCTCGTGTCTATTTTCATTTTAGTATTTAGCAATTTATAGCGTTGAAGCATGATTTTGCTGAGCCTGGTTGTTTTTTGGGTGGTCTGAACTGGCTTATAACTCTAACATGACATGTGTCAACAGTTTAGGTGCAGAACATTTTTAGGAAGGGTGTGCAGAGAAATCCTCAATACCCCAGTGAGGAGTAACTGATCTTTGTGTCCCACCTAGTGAGGCATGAGTGAATCCACGCTGACCATATCCTGTCTGATTCTAAGCTTTCCTTGATATGGTTATTTTATGTATTTATTTTTAAAGATTTATTTATTTATATTGGAAAGTCAGATTGAACAGAGAGCAGAGAGATCTTCTGTCTGCTGGTTCACTCCCCAGGTGGCTGCTACAGTCAGAGCTGAGCTGATCCGATCCAAAGCTAGAAGCTTTTTCCCATCCAGGTGCAGATTCCAAGGCTTTGGGTCGTCCTCTGCTGCTTTGCTAGGCCACAGGCAGGAATCTGGATGGGAACTGGGACCCCAGGACACGATCCAGCACCCATATGGGATCTTGGTGCATGTAAGATGAGGACTTTGGCCATTAGGCTACCATGCCAGATCCAATATGGTTATTTTTAAAAATTGAAAGGTTATTCTTAGAATATTATGCAGTTAGAGTACATGTGATTTTTTTATTAAATATAGTTTATGTTCACTGTGAAAAAAATGCATTCTCTTTTGACCTCTCAACTCCCCCAGAAAGCTAGCAAGAAAGCTTTCTTGACAGAGATTTAAGAATCATCTTGGGAGGCTGACACAGTGGTGTAGCAATTAATCTTACGTCTGCCAGTGCCAGGATTAATATGGGCTCCAGTTAGTGTTCCAGCGACTATACTTCCTATTCAGATCTCTTCCTGTGGCCTGGGAACGTAGCAGTGGAGGACAGCCCAAAGCCTTGGGACCCTGCACCCATGTGGGAAACCCAGAAGTTCTGGCTCCTGGCTTCAGATTGGCTAGCTCCAGCCATTGTGGCCATTTGGAGAATGAACTAGCAGATGGAAGACCTCTCTCTGTATCTCCTCTCTGTGTAAAATCTGCCTTTCAAATGAAAATAAATAAATCTTAAAAAAAAAAAAGAGTGTCTTGAAGAAGTTAGATTTATGGGCTTTCACAGAGACTCTGATAATGATGTGTCCCTTTATTTCCATACGGGAGCTACCTTAACAGATCCTGGAATTGAGGTCATCATGGACCACACACTTTCCCTGTGTTGCACAAGTTATCTGAGAGAGGAGGACTCAGAAAAATACAAGAAATCCAACTGGGACTGTTGCTTTTTTTTTTTTTTTTAGGATTTATTTATTTTTATTTTTATTGCAAAGTCAGATTTACAGGGAGAATGAGAAATAGATCTTCCATCTGCTGGTTCATTCCCTAAGTGGCCGCAGTGGGTGGAGTTGAGCTGATCTTAAGCCAGCAGCCAGGAGCTTTTTCCAGGTTTTCCACGCAGGAGCAGGGTCCCAAGGCTTTGGGCCATCCTCAACTGCTTTCCCAGGCCACAAACAGGGATCTGAATGGGAAGTGGAGCAGCTGGGACATGAACTGGCATCCATGTGGGATCCAGGCACATACAAGATCAGGGTTTAGCCATTAGGCTATTTCATTGGGGCCATGTTTTATTTTTAATTGAGAGACAAAAATCATATTTTATAGATTACAATATGATATTTCAATTCACATATAAAATATGCAATGCTTTTATCAGGACAATCACCATATCTATTTTCTTAAGTATTTATCACTTTCTAAGTGATAAATAAGCATCCGAAATTTTTCCTTAATACCACTTTGAAACTATAAAAGTTTATCAGAAAGTATGTAGAAAATGTAGTTGAAAGTTGAGCTCATTTTTGTGCCAAAAAAAAAAAAGATAAAAATTCACACATATAAAGGGTCTTCAAAAAGTTTTTTAAAATGGGTATTTTGGGCCCGGCGCCGTGGCCTAGCGGCTAAAGTCCTCTGCTTAAACACTCTGGGATCCCATATGGGCGCCAGTTCTAATCCCGGCAGTCCCACTTCCCATCCAGCTCCCTGCTTGTGGCCTGGAATGCAGTTGAGGAGGGTCCAAAGCCTTGGGACTCTGCACCTGTGTGGGAGACCAGGAAGAAGTTCCTGGCTCCTGGCTTTGGATTGGCACAGCACTGGCCTTTGCGGTCACTTGGGGAGTGAATCATCGGACAGAAGTTCTTCCTCTCTGTCTCTCCTCCTCTCTGTATATCTGACTTTCCAATAAAAATAAATCTTGGGCCCGGCACGGTGGCGCAGTGGTTAAGGTCCTCGCCTTGCACACCCAGGATCCCATATGGGCACTGGTTCTAATCCCGACAGCCCCGCTTCCCATCCAGCTCCCTGCCTGTGGCCCAGGAAAGCAGTCGAGGACGGCCCAAAGCTTTGGGACCCTGCACCTGCGTGGGAGACCCGGAAGAGGCTCCTGGCTTTGGATCGGCATAGCATCGGCCATTGCACTCACTTGGGGAGTGAATCATTAGACAGAAGATCTTCCTCTCTGTCTTTCCTCTCTGTATATCTGCCTTTCCATAAAAATAAAAATAAATCTTTAAAAAAAAATAAATCTTAAAAAAAAGTCATTTAACTGTTGAGGAGTCTTAAAAAATTGTCAGATGGGGCCTGGCGCAGTGGCGCAAGTGGTTAAGTCCTCACCTTGCACACCCAGGATCCCATATGGGTGCCGGTTCTAATCCCGGCAGCCCCGCTTCCCTTCCAGCTCCCTGCCTGTGGTCTGGGAAAGCAGTCGAGGATGGCCCAAAGCTTTGGGACCCTGCACCCGCGTGGGAGACCCGGAAGAGGCTCCTGGCTTTGGATCGGCATAGTATCGGCCCGTTGCGGCTCACTTGGGGAGTGAATCATCGGATGGAAGATCTTCCTCTCTGTCTCTCCTCTCTGTATATCCGCCTTTCCAATAAAAAATAATAAAAATAAATCTTAAAAAAAAATTGTCAGATGGTTAGTGTTGTTTACCTTCAGATTTTAAAAATTCGCCTGAGCTGTCATGTACAATTAGACTTTATCTTTTACCTGAATATTAACATGGTCAATCTTGAGTAGCAAGGAAAGGTTCCATATTTTATTGTATAGTTTTTAAGCTATATTCTTCTCTGGAAATTACACTTCCAACAGCTCAATATATATATGGAGGATTTGCTTGTTGGGTCACCATGCCAGCCCCAGAAAGAACAGTTTTTTGTGGTTGTTGTTAGTTTGTTTGTTTTTAATCTGAATACCAAAAGTTGGTGTGAACTTGGAACAACAAGTAATCTCATACCCAGGGTTCTTCAGAAAATTTGTGGAAAAATGAAATTTAAAAGATATGTTTTTTTATTCTGTTCTCAACTGCTATTGCTTTTGGTGTCCTTCTTAGAAAGTCGGAACCTACTCCTAGGTCTTGCAGGGTATTTCCTACATTTTCTTGCAAGAGTTTGAAGGTTTCTGGATGTAGGTTTAGGTCTTTTATCCAGGTAGATTGGATCTTGGTGTATGGTGATAGATGTGGGTCTATCTTTTTGTTTCTACAGGCTATCAGCCAGTTGTCCCAACAACATTTACTAAAGAGGCCTTCCCACTTGCTTGAGTTGTCATTGGTCTTTTTGTCAAAGATTAATTGGTTGTATTTGTGTGGGTTCCCTTTTGGTGCTTCTATTCTATTCCATTGATCTTCCTTTCTGTCTTTGTGCCAGTACCAGGCTGTTTTGATAACCACTGCTCTATAGTATGTCCAGAGGTCCGGGATTGTGATTCCCCCTGCTAACTTCTTATTTTTCAGGATGGTTCTAGCTATTCGTGGTTTTTTGTGTTTCCAGATGAACTTTTGAATCATTGTATCCAGTTCCGTGAAGAATGTTTTGGGCAATTTGATTGGAATTGCATTGAAAATATATATTGCTTGTGGTAGTATAGACATTTTAATGATATTGATTTTGCCTATCCAGGAGCACGGGATGTTATTCCATCCTTTGAGGTTTTGTTCAATTTCCTTTTTAAATAGTTTGTAGTTTTCTTCGAATAGGTCTCCTACGCTTTTGGTTAGATTTATTCCCAA